CCCTGTGGAGATGAAGAGGCCCTTTCACCCCAGCAACCAGAAGGTTGGAGCTGGATATGTGCTTACGAGCCCGGCCGTGGCTGGGATCTGCCATCCTGGGGCCGGATCCCGGTGAGGTTTCCAACCCAGATTAGACGGCACAGTGCAAAATGCATTAGAGCCCCGGCCGGGAGCGTTGCTGGGAGATCTCCCCTTCATAAGGCTGCACGCTTGGGAGAGAGCTGCTGTAGCTATGAAACCGTGCACACCGCAGCTCTGGCCCCTTTCTGCAGATTAAGGTTAATAAGCAGCTCCTGGCCCCCGTGCCCACCCCATGGCTGGAGGTGGGAGCCCAGCGCCTCTCGCCTCTGCTTTTGTTCTCTGCTTCTGCTGAGCGATTTTCATTACAAATATCCTCTTATGGGGTGCATGGGGGGGGGAGGGGAAAACAGGGGGGGTGGCCCACACAAAGAGAAAAGCAGTAATTACAGGGCAGGGGCTCCTGGAGGAGAGATTGGTGTGGATTCGACATGGCAGTGGTTCACACGTAGGGCCCCTCCAGGGGCAGCTCCTGCTTCCATTTCATTAGGGCACGCTGCACTGCTGGGGGAACTTCTGCCCTGAAACCAGTTCCCAAAAAGGGGACAGTTGCACTTCTTTTATTCTCACTCAGAAAGCAATTTTGCTGGCCGCCCCAGGAGCCCCCATACGCAATGGGAAGCGCAGATGCTGCATGCTCTGTCTGCTTTAGCAAAGCCAGGAGGTGCTGAATCAGCCCCTTCAACACCTTCCAGCCTTGGGCATGAAGGCTGAGCCCTCAGGTTGCTTACTAAGAGAAACAAACTGATCGCCCTTTTGAAAGGGATGTGAAATAACCCACAGACACGGATGCAAGTAAAGCCCTGCAGGACTGAAAGTTGGTCTTCTGTCCTCTCTTGCAGACTCAGACCCAAGCTCTGCAACCTGTTTCCAAACGTGCTGAATTCTGCTTCGGTTCTGTTTCTTAATTCCCATCATTTTCTCTTTCTCTCCTTATCTACTCATTAATTTCCACGGGTTTTCATTTCCCACAGCCTGAGCCCTGCTGAGACCACTCTGCAGACACGGGATTGCACGCCACAGCCCTTCCTTCTGCAGGGAAAGGTCAGGGATGGAGGTTTAGAGCACTGAGAAGAAAGGCAGCAGCAGACAGACAGAATGCTCATAAAGACCTGGCTGTGAGCTGCGCTGAGAAAATGTCAGGCTGGGGAGGCTGTAATAGCTTTAATCTGCAGTACAAGGGGATTAAAAGACTCGTTCTCACAGGACAAAAAAGAAAGGAGCAGAGCGGAAGGAGCCGAACAAGAGGAGAATGGAGGCTGCAAGGGGAGGAAAGGAGAAAGTTAAAGAGCTCAGCTATAAAGAGCATCGCGACTCAAAGAGCTCCATCTTCCAGCGCAATAAAAGTGAAGTGGCCTGCATGGAAGAAAGGCTTCAGCCCATGGCTTCCCTTGTGCTTTTTCACACTAAGCACATACACACACTTCACCCTCCTTCAATCAAGGCAACTTGTTATGTTTGGCTTTGTTGATTTTCAGGGGCAAAGGAGTAGGAGGGGGAAACAGAAGGTTAATGAGGCTCTGCCAGATGCAGCGCTCCAGAGGAGCTGGGGGTGTTATATGTTTTAAACAGTGGTTTGTGGTCTTTGATCCTCACCCCTGCTGTCCCTCTGCCAGGATGGCCCTCGAGCCCCCCTTGTCTCCAGGGCCGTGGAGGAGCCCTGGGAACAGGAAGGAAGCAGGAGCATTGGGGGATGCTCTCCTCAAGTAACCTTTCAGCAACGCTGCAGCAACCTTTTCAGCCACTCAGGAAGGCCAGGAGTGGGAGAAAGCCTCTGTGGAAGGGGGAAGAAAAAGGGCAACTTTAAATACTTAGTAAAGGGGAAAAACAAAATCCAACCTCAATGCATCATTTCAGGGAGATATAAAGGCAAAGGAGCCACTAACAGGGAGAAGAGCAAGCTGCACTCCAAGAGGGAAATGAGGCACTTGAAACCAGCTTGCAGTACTGCTCAGGAAGCAGAGCTGCTCTGGGCAGGATACAGAGCACAGATCAAGGCAAGACAGCAGGAAACTCAGGGCACATCCCCATTAGCACGCTGCCAGCACTGCCCTTCATGGCAGGAGGTCTCTTCCCCACCTATACATACATAAGACTGCACAACTCCAAAGATCTGTCAGCACAGGATGCTAGAAGAACCATGAAGGAGTTCTGGCTTCCCCCCATTGTCACCTGCACCACCCCCAGGACTCCAAGCAAAAAGCAGCGAGTTTGTAGCAGCTTTCTGCTGTTAAACAGGAGAGGAACCATTTCTGCCATCCAGCTTCCCAGCTCAGCAGGCTCACGTGTTAGGGGAGAGGCTCTGGAACAGCACCAGCCAATGCCAAATGTCCAAAGCTGCTTCTCTCAACTATTCCACTATTTGAGCAGCTCAGGCTGCCTAACACTCTGCACAAAGAAAGAAACCAAAACGCAATGAGCATGCTCCAGACAGGAATTAGAGTACAGCATATCTGGTGGAGACAGGGGCTGGAGTGGCATTAAGGTAGGAATATAATTACCTGAAGTGGATGGCAGCCAGGAAAACGGTATTAATTTATTTCAAGAAAGCCAGAAGCGCCCAAACCTGAATTTTACATTTAAATCTAGAAGATGGCAAATCACAGCATCCTGATTCCCTTCTTCCAGGGTCTGGCTGGAAGGGAAGGTCTCCAGGTGGGTTCTGACTCCCACTGCCTGTGGCCACAATGCAGCCCACCTCCATCTGGGAAGCCAGGTGCCATCCCAGCACAAAGCTCTGCTGTGAGGCACACAGCAGCAAGGCAAGGCCTGCACCACACAGCACAGGAAAACCCATGTCCCATTGCATACAGCTCACCTGCAGGCAATAAAGCCACGCTAGGTCACAAACAGTCACAGGAATGTTCTCTAGAGCACAGCCACTATTTGGTCTGCTAATAATTATCCACTGTTCTGCAGAGATAAATGCTTAATCCTCTGGTTGTTGACACTGGAAATGGACCAGTTGGGCCTGGGGTGGATATCATACAGGGGAACTTGGCTCCAGCTCCGATCCCTGCATCATGTGCTGTACAAATGTTCACTGGCTTATAGGTAATGGATTTCATAGGGTGCATGGGATCTTTCTATGGCAGAGCTAATCTAAAATAATACATGACCCAAGCATTGATTGTATCAAGTTTTCCTTCCTTTTCTGTGGTTTTTTTTTTTTTCTTAGATTAACATTTCAATTTTCTCTTTCAGTCATTCCTCCTTTCCTTATAGCTTACCAGCTTTCTCCTCTAGGACTGGTATCAGGGAGAGCTTCCCAAGCAGCAGTGCCCAAAGGACATTGAGATGGGCCTGCATGACCCCTACTCAGGGAGAAAGGAGCAGAGCTGATGATACCTGAGAGGGGAAAATTGTGCACACTGTTGTACACAAGCAGCCTCTGCCACAGGATGTTTTTCATTTATTTCTGCTGGCCTTGTTTGCTTTACGAAAGCAATATTTCCAACCCAATGGAAATAAACTTCCAGCCCACCTGAGTACAGAAGTTTGCCATTGTTGTGCTCAATTTAATTTGAAAGTGATAGGGAGATGAAGAAGCAGCATTAGAAAAAGAGCTGAGCTTCCTATTGGATTTTGTATTGCTCAACAAGACACAGAGAGGGGCTACTTCTTCTTCCATTGTTCCTGGGCAGCCTCATCTCGACTGTGAGAACAGACTAATATCTACAGAGAATGGGAGCTTGAAGCCCAGCCTGAAAGAGCTGGAGAAAGGGCTCCAGCAATCCTGGGTTCTGCTTTCCTTGCTCTAAGAAAGAAAAAAGAAAAAAGAGTTCTGGAGATTAAATGAGATCTCACAATCCAAACTCCTGAGGTCTGCTCCTGACTCTGCTGCTGATTTGCAGTGCATGCAAGTAAACTTACTTCATCTCTCTGCCCCAGGCATTCCCATGCAGAATTACAGAATGGGTCAGAAGGCCCCTTTAGAAATCTCCTGGTTCAACACCCCTGCAGTGACCAGGGAACACAGAGGAGATGCTACTACTGCACCTTGTGAGCAAGCCCACAAGATGCAGGCTTTGCATGAAGGATGCAGAGCACACACACACACTCCCCAAGCAGTTACCTGGTATAACCACAAATCACTGTCACAGCACTCCAGCCAAGTGCCAGTTCTCAAGCTACAGCCCTCTGAGCCCACCAGCAAAAATCACAGATTATTTTCATCAGAAGGAATGAATACCGAGCTGTTTGCCTAGTGCTAGAGGTCAGGGCATATTAGAGCAAAGACAAATCTCATCCTTCCAAGGACAAACCCAGTGTTTGTAAGCACTGTGCTAGCCTCTGCCCCCGGGTGGAGCTGGTAGCATGCAGTCTGCAGTCCATCTCTGACTTATCCTTCTCAGCAGACACTTAATGATATCCCTTATCAGTGGCAGAATGCAGTCTTGGTGCTCCAAACCCGCTAAGTTTAAGAGAAAGCAATAGCAAGCAAGCACACCGTGAGCACCTGGGAAAGCACCAAGCACAACAGGGTATGTACATCACACCAGCCCTGGCTGACAGCTCCTTGTCCTGCTGCCTTCGCCCACTCCTCAAGGTAGGAGATGCAATAAGTGGAAGCTGTAGGGAAAAAAAAGGGAATCAGAAGCCTGGCAGTGAAGGAAAAGGTGAAAAGGGTACTCCAAGTAGATAGTGTCTAAAGGTATGAGTGCTGCTTCCCAACCTGCTGCTTGGCCATTTGTGATCATCCCATACAGAATATTCTCTAGCACACTGTCTGATCTGCTCTTATGCTCTCTAACACATGTGCTCCCTCCTGTTCCAAATAAATGGTCAACTTTACCACCTCAAAAGTGTCATTGCTGAGAATCTGCTCCAATAAACTGTGCAAAACTGCATTGATTCATTACATTGTGCTTTGCCTTGGGATGTTCTGGGGCTTCCTAACAATATACTTCCAGGCAGCAAGCTACTCCTTCCCAGTATTTATTGCACAACACAGGCAGGCAGACACACACCAGAAGCATGAAGAAACACAGCCATGTGTCCATCATTAAGCAGCTGTCTCTGGGAAGGGCAGAGGCTCTGCTGCCAGTAGTGTACATGTTCACATTACATGATCTCAGCGCTTCAAGAAACTGCATGAAAAGCACCACTTGGTACAGTAACATGGAAATTAGCTGAGATCTTGCATGCTTTCCTCTTGCAATGCCTCCTCTTTCCAGTGCTTTAATCTGTTGAGAACACCAGGAGCAGCATCTCCTTGATTTGCAAAGTCCTGCACTGATCAGTTCAGTGATCCACATCCTGGCAGAAATACAGACAGGTCTGCTTGCATGCACTTTCCAGGTCCTTGTCATTGGTCTGGCAGAGGTAAGGTGCTGCTCTGAAGGCCATTTAACAGCTGACACCCCCTGGCACACATTCAGCATTCCTTCTGGCCTTAGAGGTGTTCACTCCTCTCCCGGAGCTCGCTGTGAGGAGCACTGTGCAGGACACAATTTATGTGCTGTGTGCCACACAGAGGTCAGCTCCTTCTCTCCTGTGCCCTCCAAGTGAATGTCTGTGGGACTGAACTATGACCCACCAGGCAAAATACACAGTCATCCTGAAGTCCACTTAAGTTACCAGTCCTCTTCAAGGCAAGGGAACAGTTCTCTTTCCTAGGATCAGTCTACCCAACTTGCCTCTTGATATTCAGTCAGCAAAAGATGCCAGAACAAGACTGTGTCAGCGTGGCAGCAAGGAGACAGCTTGTCTTCCAGCTTCCCAATCACGTGGGATGCAGGGATGAGTTCCTGGCTGACTCCGTGGCTGATGTCATCACACTCCATCCACTCCCCATCTTCCTTCTGGTAAAACAGATGGCACAGGGCAGGCTGCTTAGAGAGAGCAGGGACAGCATTTGGCCTTCCCATCACCTGTCAGCTAGATACCATCACACCACATCTCTGCATGCCAGTGCCAGGTGGAGCTTGAAGTCACAGAAGCAAAGCTTGTGTGCCATCTGCCTTTATACATTAGGACTGGTCAGGCACATGGGCAGGACATGACATTCCAGCAGCATCTGTGGGCAGCCTGCACATCCTTCTCAGACCATCCAGCTGCACAGAAGTCAGAAAGCTTCAGCCCAGGCTCTCCACCAGATCAGCAATGGAACAGGTTCTACATGGCAGAAAGAGCTCATCAGCCAGCGACACTGGGTCTAATCCATCACCCAGACAAAACAGAGAAGCCTGGAAGCAGCCTCATTTAGTTACAGCTGGAAGAATTCTTAACAAGAAGCTCCCAGACATGTTCAGTAAGCATCAAAAATTAAATCAGCCCATGACTGTGGCTTCTCTCCTTCACTGCTGGCTACACCAGCCCTTGTTAATGTGCTGCACCACCTGCTTTCTCCAGACCACTAGAGTCAGATGGCACGACAGTTGCAGTCTCCAGCTCATCACTGGAGCCTTTCAGAACCAAGAACTCCAGCAGAATGTCCAAGAGGCAGAAAACCAGGTGCCTGAAATGGAAAGAAGACAAAGCTTAGCCAGTGGAGCTGGAAGATCAGCTCCAGACACACAGGAGCCAAAGAAAGGCAAGGCAGAAACACTGACTGTCTTCAGGAGATGAAAGATCTCAAGCCCTGCAAGAAATATTTCAAGGGATGGTTCAGCACCCCCACACCCAATCCAGGGAGTGTTTGAAAGCTGATGAGCAGTGCAGAAAGCACAAAAGCATCTCCTGGAGCAAGATAGCATGTGCATTTCACAGCAGTTGAGTATTGCTTCCCAAATGCACAGCAACAGGTATGCAGAAAGACACCAGTACAAATATATGCAGCTCCCAGAGCTCTTCTACAACCAACAAACTAAACCAGGGTTTGTTTTATTTCCTTCCATGACATCTACAAACTAAGAAAGCACAACACCATAGTTAATGATTGGCTCAACAGCCTCCGGCCACACAGAGGTCCTAAAACACACTTTCACAATCATCACGCCAGGTTCCTTGATAGCATATGAAGTCTGTATGTGAAGCATATGAAGATCAGCCAGATGGATTCTGCATCAAGCAGCTCATGTCAGAGCACAAAGCACAGCTGACAGGCCCCACAGCAAGGTAAGGAGACCACAAAGTACCTGTTTATAACAGGATGGCCCAAGGACTCCAGCACCAGGCTCCAGCTCATGCGACACTTATCGGTTCCAAGGATTTCTTGGACCACATCTGTCAACATCAGAGGCAAAGCTTTAGGAACAGCACATTTTCACTGTAGGAAAACAGGCTCAGTCTTCTCCTGGTGGGTGCCAAATCAAAAGTTTGTGATGGTGCTTCTGAGTGAGAGGCATCTTGTGCCCAACATTACCGTGAGAGAAAATATCTAAGGGCAGGCTGATTGCCAGGGAAATTGTGTCTGCCTGGAACAGAATGTAGTGGTAGAACTTTTTCATTCCCAAAGGGCACTAAAGGCTCCTTACACTCACAATTCCATTCAATGGAAAAGTCACTTTATCACTTTTAGAGCAAGAAGCCAAGTGCATGGCTTCACGACTTCAGCAGTGGCACCTCTAACAGCAGGCACAAGCACAACATGGCACAGGCCACATTTTGTTGGAGTGGCTCATAACAGCTGTGCTGCAAGCTCCAAGAAGGGGCACATGGCAGCCTGCACCTGAGAATCACTGTGCCCTCTGTCAAGTTGTGCTGCTCTCTAAATGCTTATACAAGCTGCCTAGAACTGGGAAACTATTGCTTTTCCATGCAGGAAGCTATTAAAATCCCATAGGTTATGAATGTTTCCCAGTATGTTGACACATGCAGGCTCCATCTCTGTAGCTGTATATCTAGAGATGACAACGCACTGGAGAGTTCCCCAGTCTCACCCTCAATGGCAGGTGACATCTTTGGGACACACTCACTAGGCAAGATCCCCATCAGGCTCTGCAGGGCCTGCTCTGCAGCTGCTTTCTTCTGTTCCTCTGTCCTGGCTGGTTTGGGCACTTCTGGCAGAACTCCTCCAGGCCAGATGGACTCCTGCAGCAGCTGGAGGTACTGCACCCAGCGCTGGGTGCAGGTCAGGTTGACCACCTGGACTTCCAGCCACCTGTGGAGAGAGAAAGGTAGGAGACATCAGGCTTGAAGCAACCCCAGAGCTTTCTGGAAGGAAAATCAGCTTGCTGGGTAAGTTAACACAACTTTCAAGTATAGATGTCAAACATTTTCCCGAGTCACTCCCCACCAGGGCTCAGAGGTGCCTGCAGCCAGCATGAAGGAGACATATCACCACCATCCAAGCTGGCCAGGGCATGTTTCTAAATGAATGGCTCAAGGTTTTATGCCACTTCCCTGCACAACAGTGAAAGCCACAGCCATGGACCAGAGCACAACACCAACTGAAGTCCTTCTTCCCCAGAACAAGGAGCAGCCATAAGCCAAATCCTCGATGCCACCGAGGCCAGCAGGAGAGTCCCCAGTGACTGAGAACCAGGGTCTGGAGAAGGAGAAGGCTCACAATTTCACCAGGACTTCGAGAACCACAGAGGAGCCGGCAGGCAGGGCCAGAGAGCCGTTCCTCTTGGCAGCTGGCGTTCGTGCTTGCAATTCCGTCACCACTACGCCCCGGCAGCTCATAGTACATCCAAGAGCACAGGCCCTGCCAAGGCAAACTTTATTTAACCTGCACTCTGCCAGACTGTCTGCATTCTTCTCCGGCGAGGCATGTAGGCCAAGGGCATCTTTCCCTGTGCAGCAGGGACAATGCGAGCGGAGCATCAGGAATAGCAACACCAAAGGTAAGAGGGCTGAAGAGCAGGTAGGCCATGAGGGTGCTCCAGAGCCATGGGGATGCGGGCAGCGGGCACAGCGGGGTGGGATTGAACTTGGGCATCTGAGAGGTCTTCACCAACCTGAATGATTGTGATACTTGTGTGTGCTGTGCAAGCCCAGAACTGCAGTGGAGGAGGAGCCTGTGTGCTCAGCTGGGGACCACGAGTTCCTATGTTGCTACATGATAGCACAGCTTCCACCAGGGTAACAGGACAAGATGTCACAGCAGTGTCTTGTGTTTCAAACGTGCCTTTTCCCAAACAATCCTTTGAAAGAGTTTTTATCTCCAGCAATCAGCAGCTGAACGCCTTGGATCATGGTAAACCTTCCAGCCATCCCCAACCAAATTAAAGTGCTAAGCTGTGGCTCCTCTAGGGAGAAAAGCTTTCATTAACATGTTTTCAAATACAATCTGCTTCTCTAATTGAGAAAGCACTTGACAGGCAACAGAAGCTCAGAGACTTGGGGACAGAGCTGCAAACAGTACAACTCTGCATCTGGGGACACCAGATCCAATGTTGACTTGAAATTCACCTCAGCAACAGTCATCCACCACCCTCTAAAAGGTTGCAAAAAGCAAAGAAGAAACATTCTTTTTCTTAAGAATGCTCTTAAAATAGCAAAAACTCAAGCAAATAGTGCACAGAGTGAAAGCTGAACTCTGAGAAGGCAGCACACATTTCCAGACAGCTTGAGAACGGGCTGAGAAGTGATGGATGCTGGAAGGCCTGGTACAGACAGCCTCCCATTCCTAGCTCTTTTCTGTCTATAAAATCAGCACAACCAGGCTACAGGACCTCCAAGTAACACCTATAAATCTTATCGCATGTGCACGCATTTTGATCAGGCAAGAGCTTGCAGGTCTTGGTTCCCACAGTTACAAAACATAGCAGATGGATTTTTTTTTTCCCCTGGTCTGGCAGCTCCTTGCCTTTCCATCTGGGAAGAGAAGGGCTGGATCCCAGGGCAGAAAGGGAGAAAGAGAGACCCAAAATGACAGAATATGCATGAAAAAAGAAGAGATCAGACAAGAACAGGGCTGAGAAGGAAGAGAAACCAAAGCTAGGTGCAAATGGAAGACTAGGAACAGGGAATCATAGAATGCCTTGAGCTGGAAGGGACCCTTAAAAGGCCACCCGGTCCCACAGCTCCATCAGTGCTCACAGCCCCATCCCCTGATCCAGTGTCTGCAAGCACAGGGCACCACCACCTCTGTGCCATCTGTGACAGTGCTCTGCTACCATCTCTGATAAAAACCATTCTAAACTTCTCCTCCTACAGTTTGAAACCATTTCCCCTTTGCCTATCACAACACATGCTGTGGGTTCATTCCCTTCTGTCAGTCTATCAGCATGTGTTGACCCATCCCAAAAGCCCTGGGAAGACAGGAGTCCTCAGACTGGTGCCACAGCATCCTTGAGTTCTGCAACTCATGGAGTCATGCCAAGCTCTACTGAGAAACCCACCTGAGCAAGACCTAGATTTCTAAGGCAATTGACCTTTTCACCAGGCAGACTTGCTGCATCAGCACCAGATCAGGTTTAGCAGCTCAGACTTCTCGCACAGGAACTCCAAACATGCGTGGGTCCAAAGCTGCCCCTCACCAGCTGATCCCAAATGATTTTTCTTGTACTATTAAAGTATTCAGCAACAGATCCGTGTGCCACATCACAAACACACATCCTTGCTTCCAGGTAGAAATAAATGTGGTAAGAAGCAGAAATAGAGCTATCCTTTCCAAGTTACTATTTCCACTCTGGTATTTAATGAAGAAATAACCTTAATAAGAAAAATAAACCCATCACCAAACCATCTCCTTAGACTTTGGCAGAGACCACAAATAGAGAGAAAGTGACCTGCAGGGCTCAGACATTCAAATGCTTCAATAATGCCCAATGTAAGATGACAGGCTGCCAAGGCTACGAGCTCCTGGACATTCGTCTGGGGGTGCATAACTTGCCCATGTTGTAAGGGTCCTCTGTCTGAAATAGCTGCTGATGGAGGAATTAAATGGCTGCTAAAAAGGAGCTGTTTTAATGCCATGGCTTAAATTGGAACTCCAAGGTCAGCTGAAGGGACCCATTAAGACAAGAACTGCAAAAGTGCTCTGGGAATGATGAACAAGGCCCGTGTAGCACAGACCTTGGTCCTCCTCTGCCCCCTGAAAGAAACAGGGCTGCTGATAGAGAGCAGCCTGGTCAGGAACAAAGCACTGCTTATGAACCAGAGCTTACCTGAAAAGAGGAAGCATCACTTAAGCGCTCTATCCATAGGGTTCACCTGCTGGAGAGGGCTCAACTCCCTGAGTAAAGGGATTGCTTCTTCTGGAAAAGAAGGATGGACCACAACTGGCCCAGCAAACCAGAAGATACAGTACTACCCATACTTACAAACAGCTCTAGAAGCTGAGAAACCTCTGCTCTCCTCCACCAAGGTAAGGCTGAGAACTGCCAAGTTCATTTGAGCAAAGGAATGGCTGGGTTGAACAGGCAGGAAAACCTTTTTTTTTTTTTTTAGCACCAGTCATGATTACAAATGAACATACAATAATTGTGAACCCACCCCAGACCAGGGACTGCAAGGATATAGACCATATAGACCACATAGAGACTGTATTAGGGAGGGAAAGATGGGAAAGTTTTTCCTTGTCTGCTTTAGCTATATAAACACAAATAGCTCTGTATGTATATATGATCTGTGCAGAACAGTAGCAGTAGTGCAGGTCAGGCTCTACTAACTCTCAGCCCAGTACAAAGCTTCTGACTCCCTGAAGTCACTTAACACAGCACAGCTAACCAGAAGCTCAAACAGGGCCTGTGAGACCCAGGTAGGGATTTAAGGAAAAGGCAACATCTGGAAACACACAAGGCAGTCAAACACTTGACTCCTATGAAATCAGAGAAGGCTGATGCTTAGACCACCAGACCATCCTTCCTTCCAAGTCCTCGTCCCCCAAATTCTTCCTCAAATGGTGCCTGAAACAACAAGAAGGCTCAGAAAGAGGGACACCTGAATGCTGCAAACCATTTCTGAACAGAGCTTACAAACCCAAAAGCAGCAGCTGGAAGTGGGCACAGGGAGAAGGATGGAAAAGCACACAGGAGAGCTGTGCCCCAGGCTCAGCACCTGCTGCTAGAGCCCATGCTCACCTGCCAGGGCCACGCGCCAGCAGCAGCACGTGTAGCTCAGAGCTCGCATGCTTGGCCCCACCACCTTCAGAGCAGACCCACACTCACCCAGCCATCAGTCAGCTCTTAGCAGAGGAAGGAAGCAGGAAAGAAAAACAAAAAGAAAGTCCTCCATAAATCAAAGAACACGAAGCATCACAAGTCCTTTTAAACTTCTGGCCAAAGACACGCATGCAAAAAGTAAACTATCCTTCTCACCTTACTGGAAACGCTCCTCTCCTGCTGCTCTATAAAAAGTTTACAATTGTATATGCTGTGAACAATGCGTCCTGTACCCCTGCCCGAGCACACATGATGAAGTGTTTGACCAGTGAGGCAGCAGCCCCATGGCCAAGTGCCTTCCCCTTGAACAGAGTGTCTTGCCAGCCTCCCAAACACAGCTGTGCCAAGGGCAGCTGCTCTGGGGGAAGGAAGGAAGGAACACACGAAGCTGCAGGGAGCTCACACAGGTAGCAGAGGCAGCGTGCTTGGTAGTCCTGCCTGCACCAGCACTTTGCTGATGTGGTGCACTGAGATTGGAGCTGGAAAAGCACTGGGAGATGAAGGGCACAGCATTTCCCTGGGGGCAGAACGCATCAGCCTTGCTGCTGGGAGGCACAGAGCTTTACCTGCGGGTTCACGTTTGCTGCTGCCACGTTACTGGCTGCTCTCTCCAACACATCTGCTGCAAAAAGAAAGCTCAGGAACATGTGGCTCCAGCTCTAACATCTTCCCACAGTAAACCAACATAGCTGCTTTGCTGGGTTCTTACTTTTTTCACGTTAGATCTCCCTGCAACACCGTGGGGCTCAGGAAAGGGGGAAAAGCTCTGCAATGAAAAAATCATCCCCCAAATCCCCTGATTTTGAACAAAGCATCCCAGCTTTTTGATAATATCTTCATCAAGTATTTATTGAGCCAATTAAGCTCTCAGCAGTGCCCCAGGGAGAGGCCAGGCTGTCTCAGCCAGGTCCTGCTCAAAGCAGATTGCTTCATTAGCCCACTTCAGAAAAAAAACTTAATAACAGAATTAACCCTTCATGAGCTGGGGAAAAACTACAGCCCACAAGGAGAAATTACATCCCTTCAATCTTTTCCTGCTTATTCTTCTCTGTTGGAGATTTTCTTTCTTCTTAATTTGGAAAACAGAAAGTTGGCAAGTCTCTAATTGCTGAAACAGAGTCAAAAGAAAACGAGATGCAGTTAAAATAATGTTGCAATTGTTATCAAAGTAGAGAGCACTCGCCTCATTCTAGCGGCTGTTTTTGGAAGAATGCTGCCTCTAAATGAGGGGAAAAGAATTGTTTGGGACAAAGATTCAAAGCCAGATCCAAAATTTCCAGGTGCTTGGAGACAACTGAATCAAGGCTCGTTTCCAAGCGGCCTTTTATTTACTTTACACACACACGAAGACACACACAGTCCTGAAGATTGCTTTTGCTGCCGCACCCCAGGCTTGCAAGTCCTGTTGCTGCTTGCAGCTATGATGGCCAAAGCCAGAGGTGAGGAGGAGGATGCCATAAGGCTGCTTGCCCTGCATCTAAACTACTGCTGCCGTGCAGGCAGGGGCATGGGCTTGCAGCAAAAGAGCAATGAGATCTCTGCAGCCCTCACTGCAGAGCCAAAGGGATGCTGGCTAACCGTGCTCACAGCAGGGAACAAGGCAGAGGAACAAATGGACTGAAGTACTCCACCTGCAGCAAAACATGGGACATGTTGTGAGCTACCTGCCAGCAACAGAGCTAAAGGTAACCGAGTGCTGGGAACAGCTTTAGCACCAGCCTTCCTGGCTTCCCCTGGCACCAGAAAGCACAGGCTGGTTCTCCTCTGTAATAATGGCTTTTTCAGAGATAATGCAGAGAGAGAACAGATCTCTGCAGTGAACATCTGCCCAAGCACAACCACATCCTGCTCTGGGTACAGAGTGGTTTTGCACCATGCTTAGCACCAGGTCTTACTGCTGCTTTGGATGCAGACATAGCTTGTGCAGAGCTGACAGCTCTGGGCAGCCAGGACAAGGTGCTGGCCATGGGCAGCACATCCCCAGCATGCTCACACTGCAGGTGCAGGCAGGCTGACTCATGGGCATTGAAGGGGATCAGGCAACACTACATGCTGGTGGCACTTGAGGTTGAGAGGATCAAGGGGGCTGCCATGGGGCTTTGTTTTTACCAGTTCTGCTGGCACAGAGATAAAGGAAGATAAAGCAGAAAAAAACCAGCAAGAAACACAGAAGAGCTGTGATCTCTGATTCATACCACAAGTGCCCTAACACCTGGTCTGACACCAACAGGCTCCAACACAGAGCCCCGAATCCAAGAAGGCAGCAAAAAGGAAACCCAGGGTAGCAGAGCCCACCCGAGCCATCCTGCATGATGGCTGCAGCACCACCATGTGCCCTTACACAAGGAGCAAGGGGCAGAGATCTCTATGAGAGGAAGCTGGACCTGTGCTGTCACCCAGATTGCTGCAGGGACCCCAGGGTTGGCTGCAAGGACTGCCTGCTGCTCTGCTGACAGCCTGTCAATCCCAGGACGCTGATCTGAGATGCTCACCTGGTGGTACTGTAGTTCCCAACTATTGGTTGCCCTGCCTTCAGAAAGTAACATGGTCCTGGGAGAACCCCAGCAGAAGCCAAAAGGAGCTGGCAGACCCCGACTCAGTGACCAGCATGCCACTGAGGACAGATTGAGGGCAGGGTGCAGGGTCACAGCACAGCATTCTTTACATGCCCACCATTTATTTTTACTGCTGCTTTGACTCACGGGCTCCAAAAAGGACGTGGATTCTCTAAATGCTTTTTATCTCTTTCCCTGAAAAGCCCAGAATAGCCCCATCTACTCTCAGCAAACAGGTTCCTGGTGAGAGTTCATCATTCCCAGCCCGTGGGAGGGAGGTCAGACAGATGGGCAGGGAGCAGGGCTCAGTTACAGGGACCTGGAACACGCAGGGGCCGCTGGAAGCTCCCCTCCACCCACCTCTCTTTTCAGCTCCAAAAAAGGATCACTCCCTGTTACATAATGGGATGAGCACTGCTCAGATGCACGCTTGCACACACAGCTCCCTTTTACTTAACAATACCTTTTTCGGGCATACTCTGCACTGCCATCAAGCTGACAGTTAGCAGAGACAGATGGTGCCTGGCTCCAGTGACTGCAGCTACAGAGGAGGGGGGAAAAGGGACCAGAGAGGAGCAGAGTGGGATAGGGAGGGCTCAGCCATCAGCAGCACAAAGGTAATGCTGGTGCTCCACAGCAATGCTGTAGAGACTAAAGCAAAGGAGGAGAGGTAGCTCCCTGCAGAAGTCTGACTTCTTCATAGGTGGTGCTGCTGCTTTGATTTTTCTACTCTCACACAGGGCACATGGAGCTCACAGTGACAGCCGTTTCCATAGAGGTGGCTGCAGGAACAACATGTTTCTCATGGAGCCCAAAATGAGAGAGAAGCCTGCAGTGACAAGTCCCTTCTACTTTCTGATAAGGACAAGCAGAATTCAGCACAGACACATCCCATCCCAGGGACACGTGGTACCTGCACTCTGCAGGAGGTGCTGACTGTAGCACTAAGAAGCCACAGGACTTTGCACCATCACCTCCAGCCCAAGGTTTGCATGCAACACGTTCAGCTTCACCCAGACCCATTGAAGCTGAGCTGCTACAAACACATCTGTCCTCACGCTGCTCTGCCAGCACAACAGACAGAGCTCCTCCAGTTTCCAGAGCCAGGCATGTGCTTTGGATATGACAGCTTCTCTAGTGGAAAATACCAATGCCACGTGTCAGTGCTGCAGGCTCCCTGGGTGACTGGGACACAGCTTATTAGGAGGCTACGACATGCATGCTCAAGCTCTCATAACTCTGTGCTTACATGCAAGGATTGGGTTCCAGCTCATTCCCCAAGACACCAGAACCCATTTTGGAGAAACTGGACTAACATCCACCTCCTCCCACCCGAGGAAACCAACTCAAGTGTGACAGCCAGCAGGCTCTGACCTCAAAACACTTCAGCAACCTCTGCTGAGGGCAGCTCAAGTTACCACCCAGGTTACAATGTGCTGTGCTGTACATTCTGGCACTGTCTTTGAATGCCTGCTACAGAAGAGAGGGTGCAGGAGTGGGAAAAGCACTGCCCTGAGGCTCCCCTAGCCCAAGTACTTCTGGAAAGGCTTATCTTTTACACTACAGACCATGTCCTCAGCTGGTGATAGTCTCTGACCTGCACAAAAAAAGCCAGAAATGCTCTGTGTGTCTTGGCCTGGTGCCTTACCACACAGAGGCACTGGCCTCAGAAAGGCTTGGCAAGCACATACCAACTGGAAAGGAAGTCTTCCCCTAATACATCTGTGGGTCAGTGCCCAAGGCACAGGCACTACTGGCCCACCACAGATTGGAAGGGGATGCATCAGTGAGAGCAAAGGCCCTGGGAGCTGTTACTTGACAAGTCCCTGTTCCCCATGCCTGTTTATTCTCCTTTTGCTGAGAACACTGCTGAGGCCCTGAGCAGCAGGAGTGCAGCAGAAGCCAAACTCTCCCTGGAGAGCTGAGGAGTTGGGCATATTCACTCCTTCTCTAAGGAGCAAATTCACATAGCTTTCCACTGTATCAAAAGCCAGAAGGTTGGCTCCTGGCATTATACTGCTGCTCACAGGGAAAGCAAACCTCCAAGATATTTACTTCACAGAGCTCCATTTTAGAGTGACTCCAAAGGCAGTGCCACCATGCAGCTGGGAGGATGGTCACTGAGGTCTTACCTTTGAATGAGGGTCCCAAAGAGCAGGTGGAAGACCTTCTGGATATTCTCTATGCACAGCCAGCTCCAGTGATCCATCAGCAGCAAACGCAGCAAGTCCAGGGCCAGGTCAGCCAAAGCAGTCTCAGAGTCTGCCAGGAGGAAGAGGAGGATCAGATAAGTCAGCTCAGAGCCTAAGCAAACAATGGTGAAAAGCAGATGAACTCCACTCTTTTCCCCAACAGTCTGAGCAATGCTTTGCTCCCCAGTTTAACACCTGGTGCAATATGCAGGTAGTCAGCCTGTCAATCCTGCCCTCATCATCCTCATTTCCACTTCCACTCAAGCAGCACGGCCCTGCAGCCTCCAGAACACAGCAAGGGCAGTTTTGCTCAGTCCCTGCTAACTTATCAACTCCTAGACTATGCATGATGGCAGTGCAACCAAAATTGGTGAGAAGGAAGACTGCCAGGAGCAAGGAACACTGCTGAGGACCATCCTCCCCTGTTTTCCTGAACGTTCCCCTAACGCATGCAGTTCTCCAGGCACAGAGCTCTGCTTGGTGTCTGTGGGCTGCCATCGTGTGGCAGGTCTGAGTCTCAGCAGAACGATGGATGGAACATCTGGTTAATCCAGATGCATCAGTTCTGACAGTAACACTCCTACATCCAGACAGAAACACCTGCTGGCACAGATCAGGTACAGCAAAACTTCTCTCGTCCTCAGATGGATGAGAAAGATGAGAAAACCTAGAGTAAAAACAAAATTCAGAGTAAAAATAAACTTCAGCTTGCTAGAGAAACAACTCTATGCTGCCTGGATGCAGAGCATTGTAGAGATGCAGAACAAAGCTGTCAAAGCACAGCAAATCTGCCTGAGATAACCACTCCTAGGCCAGCATCTCAACCCAAGGCTGGTGCACCTGCAGAACTACTAAGCCACTTTCCAAAAACTCATCTTTCAACCTCTCTTCCTCTATAGAGAACTGATGGAGGTGATGGAGGTGAAGGGGAGAGTTTCCAAACCCCATCATGCCTCCTTCCCTCCTTGCTACTCATGAACTAATAAATTGAGGCCATTTATTTGGAGGAATTCAGGCATTTGAATGCACTCAGCCTCATGCTCTGGGCCACACACAAGTTAATCCCATAGCTGTGCCCTTGGAGCTGACTGCCCTATGCAAGAACCAGAGCAGGCTGCTTGTTTCACTGTAACTCCATAGGTCAAAAAAAGTGCTGTCAGTGAGCTGTTTGTTCCCATTTGCATCCAAGCTTCCTTCCTTCCCGAGCTGCTGGCCACTCTCCTCCACCCAGCAAGCAGATAGGGATGCTGCTTGCCTTTAGCCCAGACATACATTCCTTTTGTCCAGCCAGACCAGTCTGCCCTGTCTCAGCCCACAAGCATTTGACATCATTTATGTACAGGCTTCCTCAAGGGTGAAGCTAACTTGGCCTGTCTCTATCTCCTGTTCTCTGTACAGTGCTGACTTCCCATTCCAGTCCTGTTCCACAGCAGCTCCAAAACAACTGCAGGCACGTGTTCAAAGCTTACAGGCAGAGCTGGTAGCACAGGCTGTTTCAGAACCCCAGGCCCATCCTGTCACAAGCACGTGCTTCCAGTCACAGCTTGTCAGACTTTCAAACCACTGGAACAAAATTTCTGGAACGTTCCAGCTGATACAGTTCAGCTATTCCAAGATTAGAGAACGTTTTTGCTCACACTCAGGGTAAGCTTGTAGTTGCCCTGAGAGGACAAAGACCTCTGTGATTCAGAGGAGGGATCTATAATCAGAAACTGAACATTGTTCCTTTAGCTGAGGTTATGCATTTGCTATTTGCAATGAATTCATCCCAGCTTAAAAGACTCTCAAATAGCCTTGATTTGTCCATGCACTGTGAAAGGATAACTTGAGACTATCAAGAAACCATAATCTGGCATTTAATCCATGTAAAAGAGCTTGATTTGACAACATTAGCAGTTTAGGTAGCACATCCTAAAGATATGTATTTCAGCAGTAACTGTAGTGAGCACACTAACATGAAAATCCACAGCAGCACAAACGAGCCAAGGCTCGAGTTGCCTCCAACAGCAATAAGGATGAGAGCAACTGCCCAAAAGCACCACAAAGGACTCAGCTTGCTGCCTCATCAATCAAGGAGCAACAGGCAGGGGACCAGATGCTCAGCAGGCAGCTGGTGCAGGACCTGGGGAAAAAGGCTGGAGCAATGGGGCTGAGCTCACCCGTGTCCAGATGTGCTCCCTGCTCCAACGTGTTCAGCCCATCTGTATCCTCCTGCACACATTTTTCCTTGGCTTCTTCACTCCCCTCACCCTCAGGAGCTTTGCTGGGGACTGCTTCCAGCAGCTTCTCCTGCTTCTGGATGAAGGACTCCATAGCAGCCAGTGACAGCGTGCCAGAGACCTACAAAAGCACTGCTGTATCAGTACCAGCCTGTACTGCCCAGACAGCCCCCAGCACCCAATACAGCACCTAGAAGTGCTCAGAGCCTTTCTGCAAAGGCCTGACATGCAGGTACAAGGCTGCAGCAGCCACAATTGTGCACGTGGATAATTCCAAACCAGCACCCCAACAGGGCAACGATCAGGATCATGAAAGCATCATAAGAGGGAACTGAACTTACAGCACTGCCCTCCCTCACGGAGTACACAATCCTGTCATGTGCTTCACTCACACTCAGCACTGGAGTGATTTTGCTGGATGGGAACCTCAGCCTGGACCTGGAGAAGGACACAGGACACAGTCAGGATTTTCCCCACAAGCTGCAAGCAATGTTTCCCAGTTCCAGCCAAGAGCTTGTACCAGCTGTTTGCTAAAACTAAGTCTGATAGGAGCTAAAGTGGTTCCAAGCAGCACCTGCCCCACCAAGGGCAACAAAAGCTAGCTGCAGAACCATGCAATGAAAGCTTTAGAATTACTTGTCTTCAATAACAACGTTTTTAAATACTGGTATTGCCACAGCTTTCCAATATCCACCACAACACCTTTCTGGACAGGTGTTTTGGATAAGAGTCTGCATGCAGATGCACACAATGCTGCTCAGCAAGGTATGAGCACATCAGCACATCCAGAAGAGCGTTCAGACAAGATCTGAGTTGAGACATACCCAGCAGCATTGTGAAATTTAATTATGAACACATAGACGTAAAGGAGGATATGAGAGGGCATTTCAGACTTGGGACACATTGTAAAATAGTCTGTTTATCATGAAGGAATGTTCTTTCCAGCCAAGATGCTTTAGAAGTTGAACTTTTTTTCCTTCTTTTTGTTCTCACACAATTTTTGTTAAAATTTATCCAATGCTTTTCCTAGCAAAACATCTTTTTTTTTTCCCCCCTGGAACAGCAACAACAAGAGCTATATTCATGCTGTGGAAGTCTGACCATTCCTGGAAAAATCTTTAATCCAAACAAGGGCTCAAATGCCCTTCTCAGCATGCAAGAGAGAAAGAAACTCAACTGCAATTGACAGCTGAAGGAACCCTTACTTGTTTGCCTTCTTCCCATCTGGCTGATATTTCCCATCCACTTCAGACTCACTCAGATCCTCTGTGGGGCTCTGGGGCTCTGACCTGGGGAATGCTGTCTTCAGGGTGTCCACAATGGCATTTACAACTATCTGCAGCGAGAGCCAGGAACACCATCAACCACTGACAGACTTTTCTTGAATAGGAATCAAAGCATTTTAAGACTTGCAGTGTTCCTGTTTTCCATGTGGAAAAAAAAAAGCCACAAAACAGGCTCTGAGAGGGGCTCTCACCCTTTGTGGCTTCCTGGGCAAGCTCAATGCATCTACAGAGTTTGACTTTTCTAGCTGCTGCTGCAGCAGCCATGCAGACACGTGCAAAGAGCATTTGGTGCACTCAAAGGAGGTTCACTCTGCCCATTTCCCACCACCTACCTTGTCTATCCTGGAGACAACAAAGGGCTTCTTGACAAATGCAATCCTGGCATCCGTGTTCAGAGCAAGGAACTCCTGCACCTCCTCACTGTTTGCAATCTCAGGGACTGCACACAATTGCTGTAAGGGGAGAGGGTTTTAGCTCTTCTCAGAGTGAGCATCCCAGCTTTCTCACATGAAGTGCAAGCAGAAAACACCTGAGGTGCTCCAGTGCATCAACAGACAACTATCCTGAGCTACTGCTTTATGCCAGTAAAATAAAGTAGGAGCCAGCACAAGAGCCCAGCTCCCAGGTATCACATCAGCAGTGAGCTGATTGCTGCACCAAAGGAAGGGGAAGAGTGAAAACCATCTCAGCAGCCACAGGAAGCAGTGGATACAGGCACCAAGTACCTCACCTTCAAGAAAGATTCCAGCAGACTTTTTCTGGCTTCCACTTTATCGCTGTCCATATTTCCAAATGGGAGATCAGGGAACAGTTTCTTTGGTCCTTTGATATCTGGAAATAAAATGCACATTTGTGAGCTCAAGAGAACTGTAAGAGCTGTATTAAAATCTTAATGCTCTTTTACTTAAAATGATCACTACTGTGCCTCAGCCCAATACACACCCCAGATCAGGCTGAGTCAGACCTTAAATCCATCTGTGTACAAATGAGGTAAATCCAATTTTTTATTTATGATATAGCTCATACACAACACTTGCTCACACAAGCAAGATGCTTGCAGATTGCTAACATTTTAGTGTTGCTGATCATTGCCAAGGTGCAAAACTGCAAAAAGCTGTTTGGGAATGTAATGCAATAATGGGATGGAAAGTACAGTGATAATAGCAGGGTGACAGCCTTTTGCTGTAACAAACGAGAATGAGCCATGCAGCAGCTGTGGATGCAGAAATGAAGGAAAAGAGCTGCTCACCTTTAGAAAACCTCAGTTATGCAGGGATCTCCAGCAAGAGATGCCTTCACCTCCACTGCCAAGCCTTAAATGAGGTCTGGGAAGGGGTGGAACCTGACTCCACCCCTTCCAATCACTCAGGTATACTGTATGCACCTGAGCTCCCCTGCATTGGCCCTGCCTTCCCACCAGGTGCCCCATCACTGTTTCAGGCCATGTCTCAGCATTTCCACTACAGGGAACAAGGATGATTTCTGCAACACTATAATTTGCAAGCTAAAGAAATCCCACTTCCCATCATAGAGGACACAGGCACCTCAAACAGCCCAGCACCCAGACGGGCTCAGACAGGGCTGCATATGCTCAGAGCAAGAAGGGGCACACTGTGGTCACAGAGGGGTGGTCACAGGAAGCTGATGCAGCACTGACTTTTCAGGAACTTGCGGAGCTCCGGTTTCTCCTCCAGCCTGGTCTGCAGGTTGAGGAACTCCCGGTAGCGGCGGTTCACAGTGTGGTAGGCCATCTGCTGAAGGCTGCCTGCAACCTCACCCTCCAGGGCTGTCTCATACTGAGGAGGAAAGCAATGCTCGTTAACCCTTACAGACCTCCAAGCAATACCGTGCTGCCCACACATCCCACCTAACAACTCCCCAGCTCTCTCCCCACACAGCACGCAGGTTCCTCACAATGAACGGATGGGTGACATGGGGCTACAACTCACCTTGATGGTGTACAAGGTGTAGGGGTGGAAGCCAGTCCCGCTGTGCTCACGGGCAGTGATGGTGCCGGTTATGCGCAGGTTCTGGATGACCACCGGTCCATCGGGGCTGCTGAGGGGCTCAAAGCTGAAGGTGCTGATGGGAGCAGTCGGGGAGGATGAAAGCAGGGGAAGGGGCTGAACAGGGTCTGAAGGGCTTTGTGGCAGGGCCTCTGGTGTTCCCAATTCTTTCCCCAAGCTGCAGGGCCGCTGCACAGAGCACTTCTTGGGACTGTCCTCCTCTGTCTCCATCACTGGATCAATCTGGATGTCAGGGCAGGAGCCCAGAACATAAGCAGATGGGAGTAGCAGTCCAGCATCACTACTGGTGGTATGGCCATCCTCCAGATCCCCCATCCCATCCTCTGAAGTGTCTGCTCCCTCCAACAGAGCGGGAACATCAGGGAGATGCTCATCAAGAAACTCCCCAGCAGGTGATGGTGCCAGCAGCTCCACATCCTGGCCTGGAGAATCCAGCTCCAAACCCTCATAAGGGAACAGCAAGCCCAGGCCTCGTGGCCTCAAGACAACCCCCTCACTACAGGGTGGCTCACACGGCACATCCACACCATCCTCACCACCAGCCCCTGCTTCTCGCCCAGGTGATGGGGATAGAAGCGGTACAGCTGGGGCAGCACCCAGCTGAACTGTGAGAGGCAGAGAGTCTGGCACTGGAATTGCAGGGCTGGGCTCCTCGCCCTGTGCCTTCCTGGGGAAGGCCCCAACCAGCAGCAGGTTGATCCAGTCGGGGTCAGCCATCTTTCTGATGGCAGGCAGCAGCACGTTGCAGGCCACCAGCTCCACCACCACGAAGCGACCTGTCCGCGTCTCCAGGTGGGGCCAAGGCACCAAAGCCCGCAGCAGCAGCTCCACAGAGGCGCGGGCATAGCTCACCTCAGCCGCCGGGCTGCAGAGGGCTGGATGCAGGCCCGCGACCCGGCGGTACTCCTCCCACAGCAGCCCGTGTCCCCTTAGGGCCTGCAGGTAGCTCTGCAGGTGATGGCCGCACAGCAGGAGCAGCCGGCGGGCCAGGGCCTGGCGGTCAACCCGTGCCATCCGCCGCCTCAGCTCAGCTGCCAGCCCCATCATGGCCTTCTCCACCTCAGCCTCAAAGGCGTGCTCACTGCTGACAGTGCGGTACCAGGAGGAGACGAAGTCCCTCACCACTTTCCTGACGGTGCTGCTGATCTCCTGCTCCAGCAGCTCCTCCGCCTCAGGGCTGTGTGCTGCCGGCCGCAAGGATCCAGCAAAGCGCTCTAAGCGCAGCCTCCAGCCTGGCCTGCTCAGAGCTCGGGGTCCCAGCCACCCACCCAGCACTGCTGCGGTCCCACACAGCAGTGCCAGCACCTGCAGGTCCAGCAGCAGCACCAGCAGCCAGCCCAGCACGGCCACCAGGGCCAGCATCTCACGGCGGCACGGCATGGTGCAGCAGCGGTGGGGTTCAGCGGTCAGGCTCTGCGATCTGGATTTGGTATCGGGGCTGCAAACACCGGGCCTCAGCCGAACCACCTCTAGGCCAGCAGGCTGCGAGGAGCGGGCAGCAAGGGCTGCAGCCAGTAGGCTGCTCAGAACTAACAGCCGCTGGGGCTCTGGGCACTCTGGCTAGGAGAAGCACGCACGCAGCTGGGCATTAGGGCCGGCCGAGGACTCAGTTAATAGAGCTGCTACCTACTGGGCTCCCAACCGAACATTACGGCCGCAGCCCCCTCGCACAGCACCGCTCAATGACCCCACGCGGCTCCAAGCCCCGGGGCTGCACGCAGCACGGCTTCACCGACCACACCGCCCCCTCCGCGTCCCTCCCTGACCCCTCACCGAGCACCAGAACCGCAACCGGCAAACACCAGAGCACCGACACAGCAACTCCGCAGCTCCAATCTCAGCCACCCGACATTGCTCCAGGCCCCGGAGCTCCGCGCTACCGGTTGCGCCCCGCAACAGCACGACCGCACCAGGATGCAGGCAGCGCGGGATCCGCCTCTTTTCCCTCCTTTTCCGGCTCCGCCCCACGCGGCTCCGCGCGCACTGCAGCGCCCTCTGGCGGCGGGCGCGCGGCACTGCAGCCGTTGGGCGCGCGGCACTGCAGCCGTTAGGCGCGCGCTGGAGGTTCCCGCACGCGCGCTGGGCTTCTTTTGCACGCGCTGTGAAAATGGCAGAGTTCGACTTCGCGGTTCTCGTCGTGCATTGAGAACAACAGCAAAAAAAGTCAGTGCTCTCATATTGACGTTCCAGCGTGCGCTTTGTTGTGATGGGGACGTGTGTAAAATGGTGCAGTTTTGCACTTGGGCCGGGGGAATCCCAGGCATCCATACAGACTGGAAGGAGCAGTCCTTGAGAGCAGCCCTGCAGAGGAGGACCTGGGGGTCTTGATAGATGAAAAGCTTAACGTGAGCCAGCAGTGTGCTCCTGCAGCTCGGAAAGCAAATGGGATCCTGGGGTCCATCAGCAGAGGGGCGGCCAGCAGGGACATCGAGGTGATCGTCCCCCTCTGCTCTGCTCTTGTGAGGCTCCATCTGCAGCACTGCGTCCAGGTGTGGAGGCCCCAAGAAAGACAGGGAGCTGTTGCAGAGGGTCCAGAGGAGGCCACAAAGATGATCAGGGGACTGGAGCACCTCCCTCATGAAGACAGGCTGAGGGAGCTGGGCTTGTTCAGTCTGGAGAAAGGAAGGCTGCGGGGTGACCTCAGTGCAGCCTTCAGTACCTGAAGGGAGCCTGCAGGCAGGAGGGGAATCAACTCTTTGAAAGGGTAGGTAACAGCAGGACGAGGGGAAATGGTTTGAAGTTGAGGGAGGGGAGATTGAGGTTGGATATCAGTGGGAAGTTCTTTGATATGAGAGTGGTGAGGTGCTGGAACAGCTGCCCAGAGAGGCTGTGATGCCCAGTCCATCCCTGGAGGTGTTCAAGGCCTGGTTGGATGGGGCTCTGGGCAGCCTGGGCTGGTATGAAATGGGGAGATTGGTGGCCCTGCCTGTGGCAGGGGGTTGGAGATCTGTGATCCTTGAGGTACTTTCCAGCCCAACCATTCTGTGAAAACACAGTGGCTCGGAGCTGAGGGATTCTGGAGGCTGTAAAGCTGCGGTGCTGCTGTGGGGAGGTGGCTGCAGAGCTCTGAGCCCCGTGTGGGGCATCAATCACAGTGCGAGTCTGGCACAGAGAAGTGTGGTGCGGTGCCTTCGCCTCGGGGCTCGTTTCCTTCTCCCCTCCCCAGGTAGTGACAGGAGCTGCTTGGATGGATGGAGAAGGCAGCTGCCATCAATCCTATCCTCAGTCATTCCCTATGGTGAAATTGTGGCTTTTGTTGCAGTGCTTTTTTGGAAGATGAGCACAGTGTGAGCTGTGGCACGACGGCGTGCTGAGGTGTGGGGGTGTGAGGTGCTGAGCCCTTGGCTGGGGTGGGCAGAAGGCAGCGTGAGGCTGCTGCAGTGCTTTGGGTCTGACTTTGTGTTAAAGCACTGAGGCTGTGGATGAGCACTGTTACTATAGGATGGTGAGATTCAGATGCCCTGCTCAAATATGGGTGATGCAGGCACTCCTGATGCATCACTCAGCAGGCGCTGGTGGGACTCCCTCTCCCCCCCCACGCTTTGCTTTTAAATTATTTAATGAGCTCCTTAAGCTGTTTAGCATGGAATTTGTCAAGGCTCCATCAGCCATATACCGCACAATGTGACAGCCATACTTCTATTACAAACAGCGTATTAATCTTGGAATAGCGCTATTTGTTTTCCTCCTTTGCTTTTATGGTGCTTAAAAGCATGTATCTTCTCCTGAAAATCAATAACTAAAGCTATGAATAATAAAAAAACACTGCGGCGAATGGCTCGTGGAGATCCTATGGCTGCAAGTTGCAGCAGTAATGACTCTGTTTGCTAGCCGTTAAGTATGTGAACTCAGAAGAATTATGCAGATTATAATAGCTGTATCAACATAAGTATGTTTTGCTGATAGACTTTCCTGATTGGATCCGCAGGACGTAAGCCTGCTAATCCCCTGCATCGAGGACCTGATTATATGAGAGCGCTCTGCGGATCTGCAGATAGAAAGTTAAGAAACAATTAAAAGAAATGCTGGCCCATGCGCGGCGTTTCTCCGGAGCTCTGCTGTTGTTGCTGTTTTTGTGTTTCTCTGTAAGATTTTTCTCTTTCCCTGTGGCTTGGCTGGAGGCCAATGGACCCAGCTCGGAGCCCTGCTGCAAACACACGCTTTGTGCTTTGCTCATTGATGTGCAGGCAGTGTGATGTGGCCCGTTGGACCTCGGTGTCTGCATGACCTTCCCTTCTTCACTCCTCAGCCTCCCAGAGATCTGCTGGCTGGAGCTAATAATGGTGCTGCAATGAAAAGACCCCCTGTAATTAAAAAATCTGCTCGCTGTGCACTTGACAGTCTTCAAAGTTGTACAATTTTGCATGTAGGAATTTGCATGTAAGATCTGCTTATTAACATCACCTTGCTACTATCAGCTGTCACTGCAGGAGTTTGCAGTCAGCTCTACAAACTCTGCTCTTGCTTAACGATGCTTCAGATGTCTTGTAGTTGGTTCTGGTGTTGCTCTGCACCTCAGTTTCCCCTTCCTGTTCATCCTCTCAAGCTGTGCCACTCCCCTGATGCTGTGTGATTGCCTGGCAAATGTCCATGGGATGCACAGGAAGGTTGGTGCATTGGAATTCCCCATCCTCCCTGGTTGTACCTTTCCCTGTGCTGCTGTGGGCTCTGGCTGTGAGTTTGTGGTGCCTGACGGACACCTTGGCTCCCCTCTGCCTCTTGCATTGATGCTTGGAGAGGTTCTGGCAGCTCCTGAAAGGAGTAGAAAGGAGGTCATTGTGCATCAAGGCTTGTCAGGAAAAGATTCCCCCGGTCAGCAGAGATGCATGCAGAATTCTGAAATGTGCTATTTATTTTTAGTTTAATTTTTGAGCAAAAAATAAAAGCACCTTTCCACCAGGATCTCTTCCAGCAGTTCTGCTCTGTGCTGAGTGGGGCAGCAGGGAGGAGCTGGCGTCTCCATGCCCATCTCAGATCTTTTTGCAATAGATTTGCAGCCAGGCTCCTCTGACTGGTGGTGAAGGTGGGACTGGGAGCTATGGAGAGGCTGGGCATTTTGTCCTGTGCTCCCAGTCCAAAAAAAAGCAACCCAAGAGATAAATCAGGCTGCCACAGGAAACATAGGATGAACAGGTCTTAATTATGGCTTAAATCCCAACTGGGGATGCGTGTATACTCTTAGTGATGGTTTCCAGGCTGCTGGGGGTGCTGTGTTGGAATAGCAGTGCTGTACTCACTGCACAGGGACCGGGGGGTCACCATCCCTGGGGTTGTCCCATTACTGGGGATGTGGGCAGTGGGCATGGTGGGATGAGGTGGGGTTGGGGAGCTGAGAGGTCCTGTCCAACCCGGATGATTCTATTCTGTGAAGGGTGCTGCATCTGACTTCATGAGAGCATCAGCTCTAGGGTTGGCTTCCACTTTCCCATATAGGCTAAGGGAAGGGTATGGGTTGGGTTGGCAGGAGGGATTTGTCTGGGAGCGGAGGAGGTGGAGGCAGGATGCCATCCCCCACCCGCTGCCATCCAACCTAGGAAGCCATTGCTGCTGCAGCTCACTCTGTGCTGTCTGGCATCCCATTAGCAAATAAATTCGTTATTTTCAGGACAACGCAGTCACTTAATGTGATGTGCACATCACCAAACCCCAAACGTGCTGCGTGCGGAATCGGGCGAGTTGCGGTGATGAATGTCATGCAAAACTCCAAGGCACTAATTGAAGGTGGTTTCAACAGAATATTCAATTAATGCTCTCTGCGTCGCAGACAGTCTGGAAAAGGCGCTGTTTTCTCCCGAGGATCTGTGTTACTGTGCAACAAACAGATGAAAATGAACCGTTTTACGGCCTTCTAATTGAAAGTCGATGCACCAGTTTTAGTAAAATTTTCATGGTGGGGGGAACTGGATGCCTGAGGGGTTTGGTAATGGGATGAGCGAGCTGCCTCGCATCCAGCCGCAGGCAGGAGCAGCTGGGAGCAAAGGGCTGAGCCGTCCCTGGTGGCACGTGTGGTGGTGGCAGGTGGCCCTGCAATGGAGCAGGGTCTGCGTGGAGCAAAGAGAGGGACTGCTGTGTCTGTCAATAAACCCCTCCTGCCTCCTTTTGGGACGCGCTGTCCTTTCAGATGGGAGCCAAAAAAATGAACTGCGACTTCACAGAAATCAGCCTGTTTGCTGCCTGATGCATTGAAGCTGTTGGCTTGGGGCCTTCCCTTGCATTGGTGTATGAGTACTAATTTATGCTCCTGCATCTGATGATGATTTAGCTGTTTTAAAGTGTTATTTACGATGCGTTCCTGTACCCATTTCGCCATGATGATAGTGTTTTGATAATGGGAATTTACAGTCCTCTCTGACAAGAGGCTGTAAACCAACCGGCTGGATGTGTTTTTGTATTCCTACAGGCCTAATTTGTAACATAAAGCACTTAATAATTGTTATTAATGAACCTGCTGTGGTCAGTCTATGGACCCAGCTGGAAATCACATCTGCTGTTGGATTTGCAGTGAATTCCTGCAGGTGGAAGGAGCACGGCTGGAGCAGGCCGAGTTTGGGGAGTGTATGGGAACTGCTGCATGGCCTGAGCCTCGGATTGAGGACCTGAGGCGAGCAAGGAGTCAACCTGGGAGCACAGGTGAAGGCAATTCTGTGCTGTGGAGGGGTGGAGCCTGGCTGCACCTCTCCTGGACCCCATTTAAGAGCTGACTGCCAGCAGGGAAGGTTTTCTTTCTGGAGATCCTCTGGAGCTTTGCAGCAGGCCCAGGACAAGGTAAGTGTTCTATCTATTCTCTTTTTGGTGTGGTAACTTGCTTAGCCAAACTTTCTTGTTTATCTCACAATTATGATATCTGTGCATTCATTGTTTACATAGGGAGGCTTGTGGCTGTGTGGGGTTCTGCCACCCCACACTGTGAGGGGTGAATTGGT